ATAGGGAATAGATAGAACTTGATCCTACAAGCCAATAAAAGTACTTTAAGCATATATTTAACATGAAGCAATTTCAGTGGGACTACCCACATGCTTACAGTTAAGAACATGTTTAAACACTTTGGTGGATTAGGGTCAGCATGTTCACTACTTTGTAGACTGTGAGCTCAATTCTGAAAACCATTTAAATAAATTATTATGGTCTGACCACAGGTTGTCTTTTTCCTGAATACAGTCCTGAGTCAGTATCGTACATTTAAGTAGATTGTCAGTGATAAGCAATTTAACATGAAATACTCGTTTGTCAATAAATAAATAATAGGAAAAGCCTTTATGCCGCAACCAGATATGGAGTGGACATTTCATTCCCCAGGGACAAGGAGCGGCAGTGCACCATGTGCTGCCGCTACTTGTCCCCAGAGAATGCCAGTGCCATGCGTGCTTTGGTGCATGGCAAGTTACCCTGCGGGTGGTAGGGGAGGTTGGGGCCAGCACTGTGCTGGCCCCACCAGCCTGACCTGGGATCCTTGGGGCATTCTGGGGCTGCAGCCATGGAGATTCTGCTACTCAGAACTTGGCTGGCAGCTGCAGCCTGGCTCCAGGTGGCCTGGATCTGCTTTTGAGTGGCATGTGGTGCCCATGCATGCACTGCTCCACTTTTTTTTCTGCTGATTTTTTTGACCCCTGAATATCCAGGGTCAAAAAAAAACCCTCCACACTGCTCCATTGCAGCATGGAGAACATCTGAACATGAAGTATGTAATGCTGCAGATGTGTTTGTGGCACTTCTCTGGACGTGGCCTTAATGTCTTATTAAATTCTACTCGTAAGCCAGATCTGAAAAACACTCAATTGTTGACTGTTATACAGTACAGTAAAGTGAATTGTAAAAAAAGCCAGTGCTTATCAGCTCTAATAATGCTAACTAGCATACTTTTTATTAATATGCAGGGAAACATCGCAAAACAGGAAGAGATGTTGCAATTAAAATAATTGACAAACTAAGATTTCCAACAAAACAAGAAAGCCAACTTCGTAATGAGGTTGCAATTTTACAGGTATTTTTTATCTTATTACCTCTTCTAATGTATTAGCTTAGTGTAATGATATAAATGTAATATCATTAATTACATTTGAATAGTTCAGTGCAATCCTAAAATGACAAAACCATAAAAAGTGCCATACTAGGTCAAATCAATGGTCCATCTAGCCCATCATCCTGTCTCTGACAATGGCAGAATGGATGCTTTAGTGGGAGAGCATTGAACTGGATATATGTAGAGTGACCTTTCCCCTATACATTACCCTCCCTGACATCAACTATTATTGGTTTAGAGATGCCAAAAGAAACATCTCTAGCCATTCTGTTTAACAGTTTTTAATAGAACTTTCATTCAGAAATTTGGCTATTGTGTATAAGGACCTTAAATGAGTAAATGATGCTTGCGTTTAAAAAATTGAAAATTTCACAGATTTCATAGACATTAGGGCTAGAAGGGACCT